TATATATATATATATATATATATATTTAGTATATACTAAAACAGTGGATAGCGTTGAAGGCGCGCTCTGATTGGCTAGTCAAACTCCGAATATCCTTTGCTATTTACCTTCGAGCAACTCGGGAAAAAATGGCGTCCTGGTTTGCATCCGTCACAAGCGAAGAAATCACTCAAATTAACGACGGTGGTCTATATTATCTCACTGTTTTAGTATATACTAAAACAACTATTTACCTCAGTGTCGGTGGTTAGCGGTGGATATTTACCTCGCCGCTTCGCGGCTCGGTAAATATCCACCACTAACCACCTCCACTTTGGTGAATAGTTGTTAAATATACACATTTTCCTTACATAACTGTCCAACGCAGACCCTGCTAATTTACTCATAATAGTATTTATCGACTACACCACGAAAGTGTGGCTACATATACTATTAAAGGAAAAACCGAGCAAATCAACCATACGACTAGTGCCGTTGTTAGCTCCCTGTAGCTACACGGTCAAGGAAAAATAGAAAAGTCGGACATTTTTTCAGATCATCAGGTTTGGTTTTCAGTGACCCCTCGTCATATTCTAGCGCTTCTGAGAAGTCGTCGTGAATATCCATGGGACCTCGCTACTAGTTTTTCTACAGGTCTACAGATGTTTTTAAGAGTAAATGGCTCGGTAATGGAGGATGAAGCTCCTTTCAGGAGCCACGAAGAACTCAGGCATCATTTTTATTCCTTTCATGAAACATTTCTCTCCTAAAATTATTCAGTGGCGTTGATAGCTATCTCAGATAGCTGCAAGATAGACGAGCTTTTCATAGCAAAACGGGCTCTCTTAATTTTAAAATGCAACGTGTCTCCACTACTTCATCGCTTCGCAAGTATCCATCAATGAATGATATATGTCGAGTGTCAGATGCATGCGCAGAGTCTGTACAAAATGTTTCAATAGTTTTACGAGATAACAATTCCTGTCAATGCGTGCCACAAGAAGTTGACATCCCTAAAAAAATTCAGTTGCGATAAATGAATTTTTTCCTTTTCTCTTCATTTCCGATCTCGTCTGACATATCAGGTAAATTTTTTTAGGTAAATTAGTTGTAAAACATCTCAGGAAAAGACATTTACTAACGTTCAACATCTAACCGATACGCGCTTTTCACACCAATCGATCACGCTCTGTTCTAAGACGAGTATATTTGTACTCACCAGTCAACGATGCAGTTTTTTCTGCCTTCTTCGGAATTAAGGTGAAAGAACAACAAATGATCGTACAAGAAAGTTTGCTTGAAAAGACCGCTCAACCTACGATCTTGCTTCTAAACCCTTCTTTAATGATGTAGATTTAAAAGTTCCGTGTTTTAGAAGTAGAAACCGCAATAATTAGGCGTTGACACTCGACCGAACCAAATGGGATGACGTCGTTGATTTACATGATGAAGTCGAAATAACTTCCTCAGTCAGAGGTTCAATATAGGACACAGTGTTTATTTTGACAGGAAAATCATACCATGGAACAGTAGTATTGGATTAAATACAAAAAGAAAGGAATATCATACCAGTAAGTCAACAAACGTTAACCCCACTGAACACGCCCCCCACGACAGGCAACTCGAGTGAGGAGATAAAAACAGTGTCATAACAGGAAGACAATGTCACAGCAAACCATAATTAATGTCTGGAAACATATGCAATTATACAATGATGTCAATTGATGGCAATCAAGCTAACTTGTATTCAATACTATCATTAAGAGATCAGCCAGCGTTAAAGAAGATTACCTTGCAAATGTAAAAATGAGACGTTTGGGCGAAACGTGGTTCCTGATTTTTGTAAAAGCTAGAAATTCTTAGTTAAAAAAAAATTGGAGAAAGGTACATCTTAATTGCTTTATGCTTGTACGGGACCCAATTTCAAGAGTTAGGTTTATATTTTTTTTTGATATGGGTATTTTATATATATTTATAATAAAGTTCAGATATAATGCGCGCTGTCATTGGTTAAAAGGGCGTGCTCTATCAGAGTATAGAACATGGGGTTGAAGCTGCCACGCCATCTACCAATTTGTAACATGGTGGACCAAATCCCGATTTTTTCTCCCGGGTTTTTATTCGACTCAGAAGTCCTCTACGACCTAGAAGACGAAAGAGAAATCGAGCCATTAGCGTCGATCGATTTAGAGGATACTGTTAATGACAGTGCGACCCACCCGTTAATTGAAAGTGAGGTTTCCAACAAAGTTAATTATGAAAACAATGAGCGCGGCAGCAACTTAAACAGGCAAAGATTTGAAAACATGTCAAGTGCTGCAATAGACGACAAAATTACCAGAGCAGAAACAAAATAAAACCAAACAAATGGGCTATCCGAGTTCTTTTTGAAGGTGAGTTTATTTGTTGCAAAAGTATAATAAATACAATATGAAAACCTCGAATGAAGTGGACACACATTTGCTACATTTTATAAATTTTCTTCCAGTGTCAGATAAAGCTAAACAAGCGCGAGAACAAAAAAAATAAAAAACACAAACCTCCAATTCCAGTAGCAGACCTTCAAAAGTTGACTGAGTCTTTGAATACAATCCAGGGAGACAATCCTTGGGGTCTTCTGCGGAATATCTGGCTTCATATAACCTTGTGTTGTGGAGTATTTTAAAATAAGAGCTAAACTTTAAGCGCCAGCGAATGCCAAGAGTCGCATAAGACTATCAACACCTCTTAACGGTCGACTGCCTTTTGCTTTCCGGCGTGTCACTTCATGCAAGGTAGAGTTATTCGTTGACCAATTAACTCCTTTCATTGTCTAGTTTACTATCCTCTATTCGTTAATCAAGATTATGGTAGATTCATTATACAAATACTCACGATTAGTTGCCAGGACTTTCGAGAGACGACCTCCAATTTGATGTTTGAGTTTTAACGTCTCGATTTGAATAACTTAACTTGTTTACACACTTGGCAGCCTTTTGCTCGTTTAAGTCACGAACGCTCAGTCTGACATTTTTGAAGGGAAGCAGTGCAATTCAGAACATCGAATTTTGCACTGGGAATTAGAAATAGCAATATTTCACGAAGATAGAGTTAAAAAGGTAAAAAATGAGGTACCAGGTACATTTTTATCATGTTAAACGTCACCCATTTTTCGCCGCCATTTTAGCGGTAGGTGAGGATGTTCTTTAAAGGGCTTAGATAATCATGATCACTATTTCGATATGTCCAAAAATATAAACATGACAGAAAGAGACGAAAATAGCCGTCCTTACATCGTGCGGAGTTTGGTGTTGATATTTCATTTTAAGCCTTCAACTGGGCTTGGATTTAGCGGTTGATTTTGATAGTGGGTTATGCGGAGAATCGCACGAGATAACCGGAAAACCGCATTTTCAGATTTTCGAAATTTTTTGAAAATTTAGAAATCGCTGGAACCATAGTTTACCAAAGGGTATCTTTGGGCAAAATATGAAGAATTCACCAAAATGGCCGTTGACGGACGATTCTCGATCCTGACAGGCGGCCATTCTTAAAGGTTCAGACAAAAAATAAAGAAAAGAGTGTGCATCATTAAGCTATCGAAACAGCTCGGGAAAAACAAAAACAGAACAACTGAAAAATCAAAGCAAAGAAATTTTCTTAGTAGAGAGATGTAGAAAACACACTGCTATTACTTTCCACACGAAAAATATGCGATGACAAATCAGAAGTCTTAACTCGACTAACTGCATGATAGTCATCGTAACTAGCAAGTCTTGGTCATCTCTAAATTCAATAAGGTTAGGATAACTGAGTTAGCAATCCAACTTCTTTGAGGTATAGTCGTGACTTATCATTACCTCGACATTGACTACTTCAGTACTAACCTCTACTAGCGACGGAATTTACACTAACTTGCGACCGCTCAGAGTTGCCAAATCTGTAAAAAGTCATGAAACTCAGTTCGTGGCACGTTAGATATATCATGAAAATCTTATTTTCTAAAACTTCATCAAGGTGACCTATATTTCCCTTCAATTGAGATATTATGCTCTCCTTGAAGGCAAGAAAGAGCCAATTAGTTTCAAGCGTGAATGGGCAAATCTTAGGCCCATTCACGACATTGTAGTAATGTTCCTATGTAAATACAGCTAGATTTTGTTGTCCCCATTGTTTGCTCATCTTTTTTGCATGCAATCAGTTTTCTTTTTCTCCATCAGTTCAAGTGATAGAAATTTTAAGCTAAGAAAACAAATTCTATCAGTTTACCTTGAAGGATCAGAAGTATCCACTGACAATTTGCTGCTAAAACTTGTCGCGTGGACAAATCGCAGTGACTTGATTTGGAAGCAGAACGGGGTTCTCAGTGTCTCTGTACCTCGTCTTCCTGAAACGAATATGTCTCGTACGTTCAAACAGAATGTGTTTACTTTCCATTTGTCCCGCGGATTTAAATCCAACGTGGGACATGACATACCGGATTTGACGTCAAAGACAGGAACACGAATCGTTTACCATGACAAGGACCGCTCACACTACACCATTAAGCAACATAATAACTTCCTCGAAAAGCGGTCCTTGTCACAGTAATGATTCGTTTTCCTGTTTTAACGTCGAATCCGTTGGAATTAAAACCCTAACCCTATCCCTATTTCCTTTCTCCTTGAAAAAAAAAAAGTGTTTCGTTGACCATATGTATTCCGCTTTCCTCAAAAGTTACTATGTGGCCAGTTAATACAACAACCGCAGGACAATAACAAAGCGCCACATAACAGAAACACGATGCCAGCGAAGCAGTAAACCTTTAAGTTCGGAAACAAAATTATGCTCCGAGTTTAGTCGACCAGATATGTGCAAGATGTTTATCTTGAACTAAAAGTAAAGCCGGCCATATTCAGCGTCAAATCTTCCGGGTTTTCTGGATGGAACTCTTTAATGGAGCTAAATATATTAAACATTAACAATCAGCTTCGATATTCTCTTCATACATCTATACAGAAGTCCATTGAATAACTCAGTCGTACGGCTTGAGAATAGAACTGACTTCCTTCTGTCACACTTCAAAGCCAGTGTATTTAAAAAATGGCACTGCACATTAACCGACCATGATCAAGATGTTATTTTTAAAAAGACTTTATTTTATTTAAGTAATTGCTACATTTAGTTTAACAACCACTTTTCAGATACACCACTGCATATAAAACTATAAAAAAGAAAGTATAAAATCTTGAAATAGAGCGCCGCGGACAAATTCAGTGAAATGCATATTCTTATTTCTATAGGGGCTAGAAAGCTGACATGCAACCTTGAGTGAGCCTAGTTCACCGTTCACGAACTTATACATTTTTGGCCCATTTACCTTCTACAATTCAATTTAATTACTCTCTGTAAAACTCCCTGTAAAAAAAAAACAAAACAAAACAAAACAAAGAAAAAAACACGCTGGTTGTATTTAATTACACTAATCAAAATGCAGTTACTTTCGCCTTTGACGAAATTAGTCATCATCAGTAATGTATGTGTCATGCCGTCTACCGATCTGCTGATTGAGGGCGATTACAAACTTCATAAACTCTCCTTTGCTTAAAACAATAGAAGAAAAATCTCGAACTTCGACAACTCCGAAATTAAGAGACACAATGAGCGAAGGAGTCCTGGGATAAATGAAGTAATTTCTGTGACAGTTTTAAAGAATGAAAATTTAAAAGGCTGACCCGATGCGACCTCGATGCGACTGATTTCTCCCTAGGCCGAACAATTTGCAATAATGTTCAAATTTTTTTCAAAGTCAAGTTTACACACACGCATTTCTGCAAATTCAGTTCATATTTAGGTGACTCAAAGCAACTTCCATTGCATGGAATTAGTCATCAGGAATATCGATTGATTCACACATATTCCTCTGTGGTGCTTTGCATTTGAGGGGTTCCGATGATTTGATCTTCTGTTTCTTTCTGAGCCTAGTGGGTTAATAGGAGAGAAAAAAAAGTTATATGAATACCGGTATGCTTTGCACGAAAATGTTGCCAAATGATGATGTATTATCTGGTACAAATGATTGGGTCAATATCTTTTGGGTGAGGGTACATGATAAATAACCCATCCGCATAATTTGAGCAAGTGCCAACTCTAAGCAAACTTTGTAATATAGCTGAGTGGCTTAACCTGTCTACAAGAATTAAAAAAAGGCTGCGAAGGAAACTAACAAAGTGATCAACTCTGTCCCTTGGTAAAGGGCATTTTTCACCTATTTAAACAATTTGGCTGTTTTAAAAGGATTCTCTTATGACTCACATGACACCTAACGTTCAACGGAATAGGTAAATGTGCGCTATGTAACGAAGGATAGGAAATCTGATTCGTTAAATTTCTGATTTGTTCAAATTAGACCTACGAAAATGGAAAATAAAGTACCTGCTCCCCTCGCGGTGCACGTATTTGTACTTCCACCATTGAGGTCATCAGTGTCCTGTTATCTAGACAGACATTTGTGATCGAATAAATGACAAAATTATAGCTGGCCTAAAAGTTGTTTAGAACCTAATAAAATCTCTGACATCTCATTCGAAGATTCTAAAAAGTTTTGAAGGCAGCACACATGTGTTCATTATGCCCTCTTCCGAAAAGTGAAATGTCAGAATACAAAGTTTGCATTCTGGATTTTTCGATCCATCAATTAACTCTATTCAATTGCCCACATTCGTTCCAGTAATACTTTTGCTGCAAGGTGAGTCATCATTAAAAAAAAAAAAAAAAGTTAAATAGTAATATTTTACCAAAAGAAATAATTTTACCTGATGATGACTTCGTTTCTCCATTGTCTACGATAAATGTTAACTCTTTCTTCGATTTTCCCTTATCCTCTTTCTACAACAGAAACAATCATCGAAATATTTGTTCAAATCTGTTTTGCATCAACAGGACTGGAAACATAACTATGGCTCTCCAAGTTTGTTTGTTTGGTTTTTATTAGTGATTTAAGTCATCCTTGGTAAAAACTTTATTTACCATGCCCCAACAATGTACTCTTACGTTTACAATTTTGAATGTTATTTCATTATCTTAAGAAAAATTGTGTTCGAATTAAGCTATAGTTTATAGAAGTTTATTGAAATTGCTTCGAAACAAATACACTTTGCCCCGCACGACTATCACGTACATACAACCTTAATTATAGGTTCTCCTCGCGCGCAGTTTCCAGGCAGCATATAACAGAACGTTTTGCAGAAATTTCCTTACCGGAACTCCGTTTGATATCCTTTGGAGTTGTTTTATTACAAATTCAAGCTTTTCCTCCAGGTTAATTACCCTCTACAAGAAGAAGAAGTCAATATAAGAGAATCCTATTGACAAACGATTAGCTTTAATGCAGACTAATTGCTTAGCCAACATATTCATTTACATGCTGCCAACCCAAAATAAGTTTTAGTGTTGTCTCGAATTACCCGTTTGGCCCAGTAGATCAAACCTCCATCACTATAAAAAGTACACAAGGGAACCAAATTTCTTCTCCCGAGCTTTTTACGGAATGTAAATGCGAGCGCGTAGAGTGAATATGAAACAGGGGACTTGGCTCATTAGAGACTGTATAACACCTCTAAGAAACATTCAAATGCTTTTTAGAGATGGAATGAATATTTCTATTTGCGACTGTTCACAATGCCCTTCTTTCCACTGCGTTTTGTCCCTAACCATTTTGTCAGCCAATCATTTGGCTATTACATAGTCACAAAGTGCGTCTATGAAATATGCTGCTATTATGGGTCATGCTTCTTACCAAAACACCACTGAAAGACACTACCAGTTTGACGTAACGAAATCTGGGTAAATTAGATCACCAAGTTATGTGAGGAAGATCTACCTGAGCTTTCTTCTTCATTTGACTGAGATCCTTTTTCGCAGACTCAATTTTTTCTCTCAGTGTATCTAGTTTTCTGTCGACTAAAAAATAAACAGGTACGGGTGTGAAAGAAAATAAAATTAATTTACATTCTCTCAATCAAGACACATTTCAATTTTGTGGAGGGGCTAAGCAGAATATTTAACTGCTAGATGAGAGAAAACTGAGCCTGCACTTAGTAACCACGTACCTGTTAATGGAAATGATCCGTTATATTTTCTCCAGTAGCGCAAAGTTAACTCTGGGAAAAACCTTTCTTGTAAGAACTTCTGGTATTCCAGGTTCCGTTCATCCTTTCCCTGTGAATACAAAAATTAAAGCAACAAGAACTTTAAATCAGGTTTGAAGATAACCTTAATATTTCTATATAGATTAGCCCTAAGTTATGGTTCTTTCACGTAAAAACATTCCTTCGAGCCTTGACGGAGTATATTTGATAATTTTGAAAATAATCCGCGATTGGCATTGGCTTTTCTTCCATTCGTACTGTGATTAATTTGGAAGGCATTCGCCGTCATCTAAACCAATCACAAACATAATTAACTAAAAATTAAGCACAGCTAGGTCATTCGCGTCTTTCCACCCGTGAGGTACTTTCCACTTTTGGTCTGAGAAGCCTAATCTATGCAAGGCAACGTCTCAGAGGTTATTTCTGTCGCAGCAAAAGTAACTTTTTGCATTAGGTCTGACTACCTCCGGGAGAAAATGGAAGCTCATTTCGTCACCTTATCAGACATGTGGAAGGCTAAGATGCTAATTCTGATAGCTAACACTCGCCGCTTTTAAACGACCAGTGTATTGCTAGAAACAGCCGATAAATTCTCTGAGAAGACCGATGAAAAACTCAACCATGCTACTAATTATATATACAATAATTTCTTCCGGAAATTAACTCCAGTACCTTGTCTCGACGATCCGGATATTTAGCAAAATACAAAGCCTTGATTAGCTCTGAAATTATGTTGAACGGGACCACAACTAAGTGCATGCGTCTGTACTGTTCCTCAACGACTGCGCGTGAGAATTTCCACTCGATTTCTGCGTTAGTCTATATACATGTACGTATATAAGTAAAAAAAAGGATGAGTCAAGTGTGTGAATAAATGACTAGTATGTAAAAAAATCCAGATATTCTCAGTAAACATGTATTAACAAAAAAAAAAACAAACAAACAAACAAAAACAAAAAACAAGGCACGCAGTTTCAAAAGGATGTTTCCCCTCAGTTTCTGGAAGTACATTAAAATCTTTAAAAAGCAAAGTAGTTCTTATTAAATTCGAGCGTTCTCACCAGTCGTAAGAGGTGTGATTTGGTTTCGAAAGCCGGCAGATTAGAAATAACCAAGTATGGTCCGAGTGCTCTATAATACACTTCTAACTTGAACCGTCCGCTTTAGAATCTCTTTGTGGTGGCCAATCTACATTATCGATTGACTTAGTTGATGAAACCAAATTATCTTACCTACTAGCTTCGCTTGCTCGAAGCGTACTTGGAAATTTGGGCCCTTAGTGGTTCTTCTACGAACCTAACTGCGCTCAGTCTGTACTGCCACAACTTCGAGCCAATATTCCCCATTGTTGCCCTCGTGCTTGGTTAGTGAAGAGTTATTACTACATTTTTATTCATTAACTCTTACCTTGTATTTGTCATATGTGGTTGTCAACAAGGCTACCAAGATATTAACCAACATGATAACTGACAAAACCAAGAAAACCAAGTACAGAAAAACAACGATGTCCGAAGTCAAACTAGTGAAGGATTCCATCTCCTCGAAATGGGTCATTCCAAATATAGACCAGACCAGCTGTCTTGCAGACTTGAAAAAGCTAAAAGTAATAACCGAAGTTGGTTTAGCGTTTTGAAGTGATTATAACTTTCTCATGTGTCAAGATAAAACGTTAGATGAGACAAGATGAAATGAAACCAGGTAACTGATAATTTAACTTCAGTTATTTGACCTACCAATTCAAACTGCCTTCAACGCAGTACCTTGAAAAAATATAAAGAAAAAACAACAGTATTATCATATTAAGATGAAACTTATCCTAAGAAGTCCATTTTAAAGTGGATAGTGCTTTTTTAGAATGAAATTTTGCGTACGTTAACACGGAAGAAAAGACTACTCAGTTGATCTACCCATCTTACAGAGCAAGCAAGGTAAAACGATTTCATTCCTGGGTGAAGTGGTCCTGTCCTTGCACTTTTTGTATTTACGTGAGAATCCCTTACATAAAAATAATTCCCCTTTCAAGAAGAAGACAAGTATTTTCGGAGCTTCAAACAAAAGTAAGCAAAGGGTAATTTGTTTGGCAATGCTCTACAGATATAAATTCTGGAATAGGGGCAGTGTAAGTGAGAGTACCAGAGTCTATGATACTTCTTGTATCATCCGCTTGTAGACATGAATGCATATCAAGCACTATTCAAGACAGGTAGATAATAATTTAAATGCTCTTAGTATCAGATATTAATTTTGCGTATAAAGATCCATCTAAGGTCGGGATTTTCAAAGAAAAGTATGTTGTTTGTGTACGTTTTTTTTTTTTGACGAGGTTCCTCTTCATCAAGTTATCCAAGTTATAAACAGAACTATCCCAATAGAAAATTGCTTGGTTACTCGTAGTTTTTCTTTTTTGGATATTACTAGTCCTCGCACCAATCTTCTTTTCATGTGTATTTTTCAACCGAAAGTAAAGCAAAGGAACTTACTCTACGTGATTTGATCCATTGTTCAAGGGCGTCAGGAAGGATGTCTCGGCTGCGTAACACTTTGTGATGGCCAGTGAGAATGCAACAATGACAAAACCAAACTGGATAAGTATGACCAGTAAGTCAAGACACATTCGAAACAGCGCCAGTTGTAATGGACCGATAACTGAACTGAGCTCCAGGATGCTGGAGAATCTTAGAGTTAGGAGCATGGCGTCGAATCCATAACCATAATGAGCGAGTTCCAATAAGCGATTGTTAAAGGGATCACCAGCAATAATGATAGTTGCTACGCGACTGCTAAAGACGAAGGCGTAAACGAGCATTATCAGTACATCCAAGTAGTTCCACATGTCTCTGACAAAAAAACAAAAAGAGGAAGTCATTTCATTCAATAAAATCAAAACAACAAGAAAATTTGCTGTTTAGGTTTAATTGCTTGAAATTCTAATGGACTAAACTTGATAACGTACGTCCCAAAGCACTTTGTAAAATTTTTTTGCTACTCTGAGTATTCTGTGCCTTAAAAAGAATTAAATCAAAACAAAGTTGCCCTAATTGATCACAATGAGAAACACTTGGCAGCTTGCATGACCCTGGCTTACTTTCAAATAAACAAAAGAACACTCAGTGGCCTGTAGTTTTTTTGGTAAAACATGTGATCACGGGGTCAGAACTGCAAAAGGTTTGCATCTTCCCGCAGAACTCACCTTTCTGTTTTTGTACAACAAATCCTTAACAATAAGTTACTATTTTAAGACGTGCATGACGATCTTTTACCTGAAATAAACCATCGATGCTGAACTTCGATACTGTTGGATCTCACCAAGAACAAATCCACAAAAGAAGAGTAATATCGAGTACTCCTCAAAGGTTGGAGCCACAGACGAACCAATCATAGATATCCGGAAGAAGAGTCCAATGAATACCAGTTGCATAAATTGAGTCTTCATGAAAATGACGTAGGGAGTCTCGAGGTAATCTCTGTGAATGACTGTGGAATGAATAAGGCTAAGATCAATTAAATATTTCGCGGTCGCAAAAGTCGCGTAATATTTAACAAGTATAGATCAGGGCCCGATAGTATAAAGAGCGAATAATACTATCCGAGTGAGGTAAAAGTTTTAGCACGGCACCCGCTATGACACCAAATCTCACGAAACCTGACGTATCCAAGCAAGTCATCTACTATCATCAAGTCTATTGTAAACTGTACTTTGTTAGTAATGTGTTCTCAGTAAATTATTGTTAAGTGACGTATTGTAACTGAGTCCTGTATTGTATTGTAAGTAGAGTAAGGTTTGCAAAATGCCAAAAAAAAAAATAATAAAGAAGTTACAAAAAAAGATATGCTATCCTAGTCTCGCGATAGTTATAGTTCTACAGTAAATGGTTTGAACCTGGGGTTAATTTGACGAGTGGTCTGATCCTTCAGGCGAGGGTAGTCCTGAGGGGAACTGTTTTTGGTCATGTTGACTGACGTTTCTACAACCTGCGTGGAAGTCATCATCAGGGTCAAGTAAGGAGTTGTTGTCAATCGAGTGCTGTACGTCTCGTTCGCGTAAACTGGTTGTAGTGATGTTATTAGATATCGAAAATGGAATAAACTCGAAATACCTAAGATTTTGGTCAACCTCGATCTCTTTTTCCTTTTGTTTCCAGGCGAATTCGCTTCACTTACACTCTGTTCTCTGAGGTGCCCCTGCTGGTCTTGGTATGCAACGTAAGCAGTGAATGGGAGCAGAACTGGAGTAAGTATTGCGTCAAGCATCATGATCAGGAAGAGAAGAATCTGATAAGGTAGTCGAGAACGAAAATTCTTCGATAGGCCAAGTTTCCATCGTCTCTCTACTCTTTTGAAAATGAATGGATGGGATACAAACTGCAAAATAATCGACAAAGGTATATACAGTAAATGAACTCAGTCTATGAACAAAGTCTATAACGTTTAAATCTCGCAATTATATGAGGGATTAGGTAGCGGGAAGTACAACAATGGCGCACCTTTTGCCGTCCTTTAACTATTGCGTTTAACGTTATTTTGCTGAACAGGGAGGTGTAGCGGTCTGCTCCTTTATCATGTATCTCTTTTTCTTCCCTTCGCTTTACTTGATCCAATAAATCATATGCAAAGTCTTCCACTCGATGAGCTAACTTTTCAATCGCTTTCGTTTTTTCCGTACTTGTTTTAGCAATGTGACAAAGTTTTTCATGAACCTGCATAAAGAGTACAGAAATGAATAAATGATGAATTGAATAACGATAAAGTGAAAATATTGCGCCGCTTCTCTCAAAACTTCGCGAGTTTCTAATGATGTCAAGAGGTCAGAATAACTTTTTTATTTCTCATTATTTTTCAGCCTCCTAGGGAACAATACACATTCTACTAAAGCATCCCCGCGCACATGCCACACGTCAAGCTTACCTCAAATGCCTTATCTAGAGGATCTTTTTCTTTGCATAGGGCATCTGCTGTGACTACGTTCTTTATATCGTCCCAAGAACTTTTTTCCCCTTTGCTTATAAAATCTTTGAGGGATTCAATTTTATGATCTAAATGTGAGGAAAAAATATGCAAATCAGTTTGAACATTATCTGTGCTTTGCGACATTAGCACAAGAATGAAATGGCCAGTTTAGATTTCCAAGATTTCTGTTTTGGAGAAGTTGGATGAGAATTTGTCATCCCGGAGGAAGGTTAAAAAGGTTGGAAAACCGTTTTTTCTCGCTTATTTGGCGTTAAGTTATTTGAATAAATGACTTGTCGAACTTACAAATATGTTCCCTATTCGAATTCTAATGCAGTACGTTTCTAATCAAAGGCGAGATGGTGACGAGGATGATTGTAACGGCGCCCGCGCGCCTCAATTTCCGCAGTATTTTATATTCCTTTTTAGCTTTTACCGCATTTTACGTCACAATGACTCTCCGCTAGTTATCACGTGACTCTAGCTTATATACGTCAAACACTTGTGTAATTTTCATAAGGCTCACAGAAATTCGACGGGCAACTTCAAACAACTTTGAGTAACTTTCAGTTACATCAGGGAACCTCCGACTATTGCCGTTTAACTCAGAACCTACTAGAGCGTTCGCCTCAACACGTCCTACCAAACAGGTCGCTGTAAGAGTTGGCACAATAAATATCAGCTTTGTAGAAACTGTGAGTCGTTGGTTTTCCTAGTTTCACGGATCTCTCCACCAAAGGAGCTGACGTCGCTACAATGATGATGATGTAGTATTTATACTAGACCAGATCCATTAAAGCATGGCGCTTTAGAACACTGATGGGGAATTTGATGAAAGAATTTTTTGCGGATTCTACCAATTTCAGAATCAAAGTTACACCACAACCCCGTGAGCTACGTTCCCTACCCTTTGTGATAAGTGTGTGGGCTCTGTAACGTTCCCTGCTAACCAGTGCAGAGAAGATGCAGGAGACGGGGCCCATAGTTCTTTGGCCTTAACCCAGAAGAATAGAATGTCTAACCATTTGCAGATGTGATAGCAAAGGCAGCAAATTCTCCTCGTTTATTTTAAGACCCTGAGTGTTGGTCCAGTCCAGGGCTTAAACCCTTGACCTCCCACATGGCATTCCAGTGCTCTACAACATGAGCTAACCATGAGGTGGGATCAACTGCATGGGGCATACAAATATCTTTCTCATTATCGAATTCAGATGTTGGTTAAAAAACTAGTTTGCTCTGGACAAGAGGTTGAAAGAAGTCGTTACCTTTGCGAACTTACCCTCGTCCTCATTACGCATGTGAAATGTGTTACCTCCAAAGCTCAAGCCTCTAGAGAGACCTGTGAATGAATAACATAAGGCAGCTTTACCAATCTAGTAGCTCGCCTGTAATGCAAAGAGTCTCAGTTTGTTCTTGTCTCAGTTCAGCTTAGGCTACTTCAGAATGTGTAAAGCCTAATGAACTTTCAGAATGTGGAGATTTTCATTGATTTTCAAAGGTGGGATCAACAGCACAGAGTATACAGTTATCTTTCCCACTATTAAATGAAGGTCTTGGTCACTGAAACTAGTTTGTTCTGGAGAAGAGACTTAAAGACGTTATTACCGGTACTTTGCAGCCTTTTTTCTCACCCTGAGTGGAAACCTTTCTATATTTAAGGTTTACGCTTGTACATCTTAAGAAAGCTGTGAACGAATAGCAAAAAGCAGCATTAGCAATCTAGTCGCTCGCTTGTGATGCACAGGGTCTCAGTTTTCTTACATCCAGGATAATCCTTGACTCCGACAGCATTTTGCTTGCTTTTTCAGTTTGGTGTTTGCTTTGATCTGTTTTATTTATTATAATATAAATAACAATTCTAAGCATACACCAAAACAGTGGACAGCTTTGAAAGGAAGCTCTGATTGACTACTCAAAAAAACTGGAGCACGGTTATCAAATTTTTAGAACGAATTAGTTTATGAGTTTTTAATCCAACTCCGAACCCATTACCAAGGTACGAGCTCATAACCTAGATCCACTGAAATATGGTCTATTAATTCGTTCGCGAAATGGGAAAAAAAAAGCTACGTACTAAGCAGGCCAAGGAGCAGTGGTGGAAAAAATCGGTTTGCCCCAGAGCCCACAACAAAAGATATGTCACGTCCACAAAAAAGGCAACTAAATTCGGCATATTTCAAAGTACGTAACGGAAAATTATTTGCTTACCACGTGAGGTGTTTTGTTTACATATTGCGACAAACCCTTTCAGGGTGGCTTAACAGCCCCGAAGGGGTCAAATTCAAAAATCACATTGGAGATATGACAACTGAACAACTGAAATATTCCCTTATTTCGTTTTAAGAGTCCGCACGAAAACAGGATGGTATGTTTAGATAAAAAAAAAACTTCATTGAAATCGATCTGAGCCGCTATGAATTGCTCTCACGCCTTTTCCATTTATATACAATAATTTCGGCCCGTCCACATGAAAACTGTTACGTTTGGGCACTTCAGAGTGTGCAAAGCTTTTTTAACTTTCAGAATGTGAATATTTTCATCAAAGGACATTGACTAATAAACAGATTCATTCACCAGCATGCGCATTCACGACGTTGGTAACCATGCACGTTATTGCTATTTTATAACCTTCCCGTTCTTTGCGCGTCGATGATTAGTTATTGATTAAAACATCTCATGTTTGCCGCGCCCTCGAAGAGGAATTGTTGAGTTAAAGTAAGTTTTGGTAAAAAAAGATTTTGTTCTGGATAAGAGGATGAAATAGTTTGTTACCTTTCCGGTCTTTATCCCCATCCTGAGAGAAATCCTTTCTGCGCTTAACGTTCAAGCTTGCATGTCTTACCATACCTTTGAATGAATAACCAAACGGCGACATTAGCAATCTAGTAGCTTGCCTGTGATGCAAAGAATCTCAGTCCTATTACTTCCAAAATAGTCCTTGGCTCTGATGCCGTTGTTCTTGCTTTTTTAGTTTGGTGTTTGTTTTGTTCTGTTTTGCGTAGGATTAAATGTTTTTGCTTGCTTGCGATTGGTCTAAACGCGTCACGTGACCGAATATCCCTCCTAAACGCATCTCCTGACCGAATATCCCCAGTTAAAACTGGGAGGTATCCGAGGATATCACTCAAGTGATATTCCTTAATTTGCAAACCTTACGTAAACTATGGTGAGTCTCCGTTTCGAATCAAAATCAACAAGAGAAGAACGTTACGTGGTTGTTACAGAAGAAGGAAAATAACATGTTTGTTCATGAAGTCGCACCATAGAACACTCACTGACAGTAAGCTGTTCGCAAGCGTGTTGCAAAATATTTGAAGGATAATAAAAAAAATAGCCTCTATTTTGAGCAAAATGTGCTGGTGTATCGTCCTCCCCTCCTTGATATTTATAATTTTCGGAGGACTGCATGTTTGTAATTTGAAACCGATTATGTCCACGCACAAATATCCATGTATATTTTTGCACCAAATAGTCGCCATCATTTATATACGTTTTGAGTGAAAGAAAACTGAAGGAAGAAATCTAAGCAAACAAAACTGTCTGCAAAGCTAGGAAACTGAATCAAAATTTGTTGTCTAACCCTCGCCTAGCTTTATCGTGCTTTGAACAACCCAAACTTAGAGTATGCTTCTCCTTCTGAGAAACTTTGCTTGTTTCCCGCACATCGGAACGAGGCAAGTTATGACTAACTTAGAAAACCTTTCCTTATCAATTCGATTCAGTTTAACTGGGAAAGAAGTACACAACAATCTTCTCAAAAAGAAATGCACTTACTGCGCAATTTTCTGGATTCTGGTGTAGTTGGTGGGCTAACATCACTCTCAACTTTTTAATGTTTGATAATAAGAGAGAAAACAAAAGTAGTAAGTCTGAGCAAAATCATTTTTGGCTACTTAATTAAACCCTAGAAATATATTCTCTACAGCTTCTCCTTACGACACCAGTACGTTATCTTCAACAACTGGGTCTCGGCCTTTTTCCAATTTATCGGCTTAAGGGTGCAATCATGTTATCACACAGATTTGCGTGAAGCTGGCGAACACGCCAAACTTGTCAACACATCATATTGAGTTTTCCAAGGCCCAAAAATCCTAAATTAGAGCCAAATAAAAACGTAGTTTAGTATTGTTCCTACAGCGGAAGACCCCTAAAATGTAATTCCTTGATCGTGCCTATATTTGAAAAGTTCGTTTCCTTTGCATGGTCTTGGGTGAGAGAAAATGTGAAAAATAATAAAATTAGGTGCAAAAAGTGAGAAATGAAATGAAAAATGCCGAGGGGGAAGAGAACATTGTGAAATGAAGTTAAAGTTGGGTGGTGAAAATTCTTAAGATCTAACCTCCAAGGTTGACCAACCCAATGCCGTCCACGTTGTCACCATTAGAAGCAGGGGATCTCAGTTGATCATAATTGTTTCCCTCACTCATTTTAAGCTTAATGTAATCTATAAAAAAGAGAAAAAAATAGAGGGGTCATTGAATTAGCAGTATAAAGTATAACTGAATATAAAAAATGACTAGAGGCTAACTAAAGGTTTAGGCAAATAAAAATGAAGAAAATAAACCTGTGCAAATAGTTTAGTTGTTTTTTAACAGTATTCGTTAGCTATCGAAACAGCTGAAGAAAATACGGACAAATTAAAAATAGAACAACAACAGAAAAAAAAGTCAAAGCAAAGCGATAAAATATGGATTGAAAAATCAGAGTCTTCACTCGACCAACTGTATGAGAGACATTGTAACTGGCAAGTGTTGGTCATATCTAAATTCAATAAAGTTAGGATTACTAAGTTAGTAATCCAACTTCTTAAAGGTATAGTACTAAAATCTACCAGTCACGGTGTTTATTGTAACTTGCGGCCGCTCAGGGTTGCCATATCCGTGAAAAGTCACGAAATTCGGTTCGTGGCATGTTAGATATATCATGAAACTCTTATTTTCTAAAACTTTATCAAGGTGAACTACACTTCCCTTCAATTTCGATATTATGCTATCGTTAGATATTATGCTCTCCTTGAGGGCAAGAACTACCAATTAGTTTCAAGAGCGAATGGCCAAATCCTGGGCGCGTTTTCGACATTGTAGTGTTGTTCCTATGTTTATACAGCTAATTTTTTTGTCCTCATTGTTGGTTCATCTTCTTTGCATACAATTGGTAGTCTTCGTTTTCTTTTCCTTCATAAGGTCAAGTGATGGAGATCTTATGCGAAGAAAACAAATTCTGTCAGTGTACCTTAAAGGATCAGAAGTACCGTCAATTTGCTGCCGAAACTTGTCGCGAGGACAAAGCACAGTGACTTGATTTGCAAGCAAAGCGTAGTCCTGTCTCTGCACCTTGTCTTCCTGAAACGAATGTGTCTCGTAGGTTCAAACAGAATGTGTTTTCTTTTCCTTTTGTCCTGTGGATTTAAATCTAACGTGAGACATAGCATACCGGATCTGACGTCAACACAGGAACACGAATCCTTTACGTTGATAAGGACCGCTTGCAATACACCATTAAGCAACATAATAACTTTCTCGAAAAGCGGAATTTAGGGGACAAAGAAACACATTTTTATGGAGAAAGAGCTCAGTGGTTTATTGTGAGCTGTTCTTTTCACGGTGAACGATTCGTGTTCCTGCTTCGATGTCGAATCCCGCGTTGGATTTAAATCCCTAACCCTTACCCTAATTCCTTCCTCCTTAAAAAAAAATGTTTCCTTGACCCTCTGTATTCCGATTTTCTCGAGAGTAACCTGTTAATACAACGCCCCCAGGACAATAACAAAGTGTAACATAACAGGAAGACAATACCAGCGAAGCAGCAAACCTTTAAGTCAGGAAACTAAAGTATGCTCTGAGTTCAGTTGACCAAATAAGTGCAAGATATTTAACGTCAAGAACATGAAATAAAGCCAAAAATATGACAAACTCACGGAAAAACAAAGGCAACCCACGGCAAAATGAAATAAGTCACGGCAAAATCAGATAACTCACGGCAAAATAAAATAACTCGGGGCAAAACAAAATCAACCCACGGCAAAACAAAATTTAAAATTCATTTGAGGGTCAGCGGCTGATATAGTTCAAATACTGAATACGTATTACGTCTGACGCCGTGTATTTTAACATGGCGAATTATGAGTCACCTCGTATCGGTACCCTTGCTTAAAATAGTATTTCAACAAAAGCCTCTGTTTGTTGAGTCTTTCAAAATTCATTTGAGGGTCAGATACTGACTGCGCATAACACTGTGTATTTAAAAATGGCGGGTTACGAAATTATCCTTTGCTGCGAGTCTTGCAAAGAAAGTCTGTCTTTGAATGACAATTTTTTGCTGTATATGCGGTTTTTCGTTCGCTGTGGCTAAATGACCGGCAGCCGGTCAAGGTTTTCAAATCACTACATGACCGGCATTCTGATATTTTGCTTATATTTAAGGAATCAAAGAAACCCGTTCAGTTTAAACGATCATATGTAGATTAAGCACTGCTAAGCGATCCATGAAAGCTTTAAATATCACATGTCTAACGCTTGGTTTACGCTCGGCTCACAGAGCGAAACCGTTTGCCGGTCACAGTTCAAATCACTAAATAACAGTCTGATATTTTGCTCGAATTTAAGGAATCAAAGAAACCGTGGACATTCTCCGCGTTGAAAAATACTTTGAAAAAGATGCATGGTTGTTGGTTCTTAAATCAACAAAGGAGAAGATCCGCGTAGACTTCGTTTGTTCTGTTTGTGCAAAAATGATATAAACGACGAAAGTGAAGACAGCATTGCTTGTAACAGGTGTCTCATTTGGACTCATTTTGCATGCACTTCATTAAAAAGTCGAACAAAGAACAGAATCTGGTTCTGCAAATCTTGCAGAATTAAATACTCAATTTACAGAAGATTATTTATCAGTCTACTCCTACTTCTAAGATTACCTGGTTACTAATCAAAGTAATAACTTATGAGATTTTTCATACGCTGCGTTTTCCATAAGTGGTGTACAAATGGGCCCTGCCCATGCCTCAGTCGAGTATAGTAGCGACAAAAATCTTGTTTTCATTGTAAGAAATACTCATTAGAAATATATTCAATTATTTTTTAATCATTTTTTTTCGGAAATGGTTTCATATTTGACAATGATAGAAGTTTTTCTGGCACTAGTTGCCTTTAAATCTTAATTGCAATCATTTATTATTTTTCATGTAATTAATTGTAAATCATCTTGTGACGCAAGAGTTAGACTTGTGGTCTATACTGAAAAAGCTGCTGGATGGCTTTGTACTTCTTATTCGACATATCATTGTTTGAATATGACCGGCTCGATTCCTTGAAGAATCGATCGTACTGCCGGTCATTCAGTGATTTCAAAACTGTTTCTGGCAGTTGACTTAAAAAAAAGACTAAGTGTCACAAACCATGGTTTCGCTCTCTTAGCCGAGGGTAAAGCAAGCGTTAGACTTGCGAGCTTTCCTGGATCACTTGGCAGTTCTTAATCGAAATATAATAGTTTGAACTGGATGGGTTTCTTTGATTCTTTAAATTTGAAAAAAATATGAGACTGTCGGTCATTTAGTGATTTGAAAACCTTGACTGGCTGCCGGTCATTTAGCGACAGCGAAAGAAAAAACCGCATATACAGCAAAAAATTGTCATTCAAGAACACGCTTTCTTTGCAAGACTCACAGCAAAGGATAATTTCGTAACCCGCCTTTTTAAAATACACAGTGTTCTGCGCAGTCAGTATCTGACCCTAAAATGAATTTTAAAAGACTCGACAAAGGCTTTTGTTGAAATATTATTTTAGGCAAGGGTACAAGGGTAGGTATAAGAAGGGATTCGTAATCCGTCATGTTAAAATACACAAAGTCATTCGCAATACGCATTCAGTATCTGAACGATATCAGCCGCTAATAACCCTTAAATGAATTTTAAATTTTGTTTTGCCGTGGGTTGATTTTGTNGGCTGTTTTAATAGCACTTTGGACTCTATTCTGCCAGAGTCTATAAATTGGTGAATCTTTCCCAAATTTAATAAATGCTGCTTGTCGCTTCTCAATCATAGATTTCAGTTTCACTGTGATCCAAGGCTTATCGTATACATGGATTTTCACTGTTTTCCATGCAAAAAAGGTTTCAATAGCTGAACTAAGCTCTTTAGAGAATAACTCGAACTTTGAAGTACATGAGGCGGCATTGTAAATTTTAGCCCAATCCTTAGTCGTAATCCAGCATCCAAACTGTCTCCAGTTGCTCGCGCGGTTCTCTCTTCTATAAACTTTTTTTATAGAATTGTGTTGAGATAGATGTTTGACAGTTGAGCACGCCTGGATGGTATAGTGGTTCGATGAACCAAGCTTAGGTAGCTTCTGAAGATCGAAGGTATGAGGTCTATTAGTATAAAACCAGTCAAGTATCCCAGAGTCTCTTGTGTTGAATTTGACTAGTTGTTTCAAGTGATTAGGTCCAGAAGTTGAGTCGGGGCGTAGGCCGGTTGAAGTCGGATTGAAATCGCCAGTTAAAATAACCATCGCGTTTGGATGCTTCGAGAGATACGTATCCATATTCCTTTGTATATGGTCACGAAGGGTTGTATTCTCCGCTTCACCGTTAGCAGTTGAATGGTAAACAACACCTAGGAAAATGATGGAAATATTTCGTGGGAGTGAATGCGGTCTCAGTTGAACCCAGATAGATTCCACTTCCTTCTGTTCCATTTCCACTAATCGTTTACACGGAGTATTCCCCTTGATGTATTCGCAAACGCCGCCACAGGACTGGTTTTTTCTGTCATTTCTCAATAACAGAAATCCTGGTAGTGAGACGGCTGAATCTGGTAGCAATTGTGAAAGCCAAGTCTCAGTTATACAAATGACATCAGTTTTGTTGTGAATGGCGACTTGATTTAATTCGTGAACCTTGTTCGATAGATTGCGAATGTTTGTAATTAAAATAGAAGGGACCTCGTAGGCCTTTGCGTACGGGACTCTCCTAATCTAAGAGCGATCCCTGCCACGATACCGCGAGGTTGTCGTAAAAGGAACTCGGGTGTTGATTCGAAGTAGTGGTAACATTCTGATAGACTTGCCTCTTTCGGTTTGGAGATTGTTTGCCAGCTCGGACTCCCCTAAACCGGAGAACATCCAGATTTTTTAATGTATGGAGCAAATTTTGGGACCGGTTGGATGTAGTATAGCGCCGTAATGAGAGGATGGTTTCTCGTCGATGTAAACAAAAACATCTCGGCGAGGACGGATGAAGAGTTTGCAAGGATCAAGAATTCTCGATTTCTGAAGGTCCAGGGTTCGTTTCCACATCCATGAAGACTGTAAGATTGAAGTCTGGGTCTTTTCCAGGGATTTTAAGACATATAAATCCGCGTTTGGTGGATTTCAAATTCGGTTCACGGAAGCGGGTGAAACTAAAATGGCGTAACGATGCCGCCCTTTCGACTGTAAATCGACAAAATAAGACGTAGCAAATTCGCACCAACGAACATGAACTTTGGGAATGGTGACTGATGGTACTATCGTCATCTCCAGTATGAATTCGCTGATGAAGTAAACTTGAGAAGACCATAAAGAACAAGATAATCGGCAGCAATTTTGAAGCAGCCATGATGAGCGCTAATTTACATAATTAGAGTTGTGCGGTTGTGCAGTTGTGCGGCTTGAGGATAGAACTGACTTCATTCTCGAAACACTTCAAAGCCAGTGTAGTTAAAAATTTGTATTGCGCATTAGACGATCATGATAAAGAATTCATTTTGAAAACACTTTATTTAAGTAATTTGCACACCTACAGCAGTTTAACAACCAATGTTCAGGTACTCTTAAGAAATAATGTATAAAAACTTAAAATTTGGACGCCGCGGACAGATCCACTGAAGCGTATATGTCTTTTTCTATTAGAGATAAAAAGCTGAAATGCAATCGTGAGGGAGCCTAGTTTACCGTTCACGAATTCAAAATGTTTTGGTCTATCGATATTCTACGCCCGATTCACTATCTCGATTTAAAACTATCTGTAAAAAAGCACTGTTTGTATGTAATTACACTAATCAAAATGCACTTTCTTTCCCATTTCAATTAAAATCAAAGCAGCAAGGCAATATCAGTCATCATCAATAATGTAGGTCTCATGCGGTCTAACGATCTGCTGAGCGAGGGCGATTAAATACACCATTAACTCTCACTTGCTTGTAACAAAATAAGAAAAATCCCGAACCTTCGAAAACTCCAAAATTCAGAGGCACAATGACCGAAGGAGTCCTAGGATAAATGGACTAATTTCTGTACTAATTTGTGGGACCGTCACAGCTTTTAAAAATGAAAATTTTAGTTAGGCCGATGCAATCACGATGCGAGATTTCTCCTAAGGCCAGACAATTTCCAATAATATTCCAGTTATTTTTTAATATCAAGTTTACTCACAAACACGTTTTGCAAATTAATTCAAATTTACTTGACTTAAAGGAACATTTAATGCATGTAACTAAGTCATGAGAAATATCGATTGAATCACACATCGTCTTCTGTGGAGTTTTGCATTTGAGGGGTTGCGACGGTTTGATCCTTTGTTTCTTTCTGTGCCTGATGGGTTGAAAGTAAAGAAAAAAAGAATATGAATACCAGCACGCCTCGCCACGAAAATATGTCCTAATGATGATGTACTATTTGGTACATATGATTGGTTTGATACTTTGGGTGAGGGTACATCTGAAATCCCCGTTGTTGATCAATAACCCATTCGCATAACTTGGGCAAGTGCTAACTCTGAGCCAACTTTATAATAAAGCTAATTGGCTCAACTTGTCTACAAGAATTAAATTTTTTTTCACCTATTTAAATCATTCAACTGCTTTGAAATGATTTTCTTAACCCACATAGCGTTTAACGGCATGGCTAGATATGTACTATGTAACAACGGATACCCTGAGAAATGATAAAAGCAAAAAAACAAAAACAAAACAAAAGAAAAAAATACCTCCTCTTCTTGTGGTGCATGTATTTGTACTTCTACCGTTGAGTTACTCAGTTTCCTGCTAACTAGACAGAAATTTGTTGATAGAATAAATAACAAAATTATATCTTTCGAGAAAGTTTAGAGAGCAAAATAACAGCTCTGATATCTCTTCTAAAAATTTTAATGGCAGCATCTATATCCGCCTTGCCTTCAACCGATGTGATACACATTCAAATGTCAGAATGGAAAGATAGGATGTTCCAATGCGTAAATTACCTCTGTTCGTACAAGTGATGGTTTTGCTGTAGTGTGAGTTATCATAAAAACAGCAAAACAAAAACAACAGCATTAACAAAAATACAGTAATATTCTACCAAAAGAAAATAATGTTACCTAATGATGTCTTTGCTTCTTCGTCGTCTGCGACCATTGATATCTCTTTGTTCGATCCTCCTTCGTTCTCCTTCTATAGCGAAAACGATCATCGAAACATTTGTCAAATCCTGTTTTGCATCGACAGCATCGGAAACATTTGCATGGCTCTCTTTATTTCGTTTTTATTATTAACGTTACTATTATCATTGTTACTTTTTATTTAAGTCACTTTTGGTTAAAAATTTAATTTACCTGCCCCTGCATTATATATATGACGTTTCAATTTTGAAAATATTTCATATGTTTTTAGATTAGCTCGGTATTTGCAGGCGGTGTTCATTGTAAGTAATTGTGTTAGAAGACCTAATAAACTTGAAACTTGAGACTAGATAAATATTGTTCCAGATAAGCTATAGTATATAGACGTTACCTCATTATAAATAAACTTTGGTCCTTTTTGGAGCGATTCAAATATTCTTGAGTGGGTTTCATTTTATTTTGTACTCCAAATTGTTTACTTCAATCGACTAAGTCAAGTTAAATAAGAGCGTTTTAATTTTTAAGGGTTTACTAGGAAGCTGTCCTACATATATGTACGATATACTTAAATTTAATGCGGACCTACACTCACGAACTGGTCGTTATAATAAATTAAACCTCACCTGCCCTCGTTTCAAACGCGAAACCGAAGGAGGGAGTACCTTGAGTGTATCTGCGGCAAGGCTGGGGAACCAGCTACCTACTAACCTAAAAAAAGAGGCGGCAACAGTTGCTTCTTTCAGAAAGGCCCTTGACAGACATTTCCTAACGAGCTATGATAAAGTAGAACACTTAGTCCGAATGCGATAGTAAATTAAATCTGGTCTGCCCTCCTTTCAATCGCGAACCTGAGGCGACTCAAGTGGCATATTGTATTTTAACTCGATCCATGTGACGTATTTTATTTTATTTAGTTTTTAGCTTGCATTCTTATAGACCTGTTTATAATCCTCGAATTCGTTTTACATACATTTTACACATTTTAACTCTAATTATGGTACTTTTAGGATCGAGAGCAACTAGTTCTTCAGTTGAATTACTGTCATGCGTTACCCTCCTTAAATAAAGTTATTATTATTATTATAATTATTATCATTATTATTATTAATTATTATTATTATTATTATTATCAAGCGACAATTAACTTTATTTCTTCATAAGTTACCATAATTATAGGTTCTTCACGCGCGCAGGAGTTTGCTAATTAGATGGACATTGATCATGAAGTCTCGAGCAGTATAAACGAACGTTTTGCAAACAGTCATTACCGGATCTCCTTTTGACATCCATTGGAGTTTTGCCAGCACAACTTCAAGTTTTCCTTCCAGGTCGATCATTCTCTATAAATAAGAAGAAGTCAGTATGAGTGAATCATATCGTCACATCCTAAATTGTAATCGAGATTGAATTATTGAACATTTTCAAAGCACGATTTGCTTTAATCCAGAGTAAATTGCTTAGCCAGCATATTCATACAATTAAGTGTTGTTTCGAATTACCCGTTTGGCCTAGTAGATCAAAACTTCAATCACTGATGAAAGAACAAAAAACATTTCTTCTCATTAATTTTTCATGGAATATGAGGGAGATTAGGCTAGTTATACAAGGACTATTCAATTCAAAAACACCATTCGAGTTTTCATCTGCATCACATTGCAACAGGTTCTTAGAGATGAAATGTACGTACATCTCCCACTGCAACTGATTTTCATATACATCTATTCTCAATGCACTCCTTTCCACTGAGTTTCGTCCCTGATCATTCTGCCAATCATTTCGCTATTGGTCACACAGTGCGTTTAGGAAATAAAGCACCATTAAAAGGCACTACCAAGTGGACGTGAAGAAGTAAGGGTTAATAAGACCGCGATGTTATGTAAACAATATTTTACCAGATCTTTCTTCTCCATTTCTCTCAATCTTTGGTGCACGGTTAAGCAGTTCAGTTCCTAGAAAGGGAAGGGATCCTTCCCGTTCGACTTCCATGGTAAACTGGAGGGAGGGATGGGTAGAGTTAAGGGTGTCTAGAAACTGGCCAGCGGTCACCCTATCAGGCATTACGGTCAGGTATACAGTGACAGACACATTCCGCTTTGCTGATGAAGTACGAGGCTTCGAGATCAGGAACGGCGAAATTTTAGTTTCCTATGACGTCATCTCATTGTTTACAAATGTACCATTGGAGGAAACAATACAGATCTTAGCTGAAAAAGCCTTTGCCCAGGATTGGTTCAACGAGACGCACAGCTTGAACATCTCTAAAGCGGACCTAATCGACCTCCTCCGAGCAGCTACGAAAAACCAGCTTTTCCAGTTTGACGGTGCTTTATATGAGCAGACAGATGGAGTCGCTATGGGTTCTCCCCTTGGACCGTTGCTGGCTAACGTCTTCATGTGCTCGATTGAGGAAAACCTCGAACGACACGGTCAACTTCCGCGCTATTACCGGAGGTACGTCGATGACACCCTGACCGTAATGCCTGATAGGGTGACCGCTGGCCAGTTTCTAGACACCCTTAACTCTACCCATCCCTCCCTCCAGTTTACCATGGAAGTCGAACGGGAAGGAACCCTTCCCTTTCTAGGAATTGAACTGCTTAACCGTGCACCAAAGATTGAGAGTAAGGTCTACATCAAAAGAACCAACACGGGTCTCCTTCTGCATTTCCAGAGTCATGTTGACATTAAGTACAAGCGCAGCCTAGTTAACACCATGGTGGATCGCGCTTATCGATTATCTTCTAACTGGTCTTTCTTCTCCGAGGAATGTGACCGCCTTAGAGGGGTTTTTCATAACTTGAAATACCCAAAGCCACTGGTTGAAACTACAATCAAGCGGTTCGTTGAGAGAAGGATTTCATCTGCAGAACCCTGTCCATCACCAGACGTACCATCGGAGACTGTGAGATTGGTGTTACCCTTCAAGGACCAGTCGTCAGCTAATCATGTTAAACAACAACTGAACAGTCTAAGCTCGAAGTTAAGCGTGACTGTCCAACCAGTGTTCGTTAGCCCTAAGCTCGATCAACAGCTTAAGCAACACGAAATTAAGCCCCCTATTGTTAACCAACAATGTGTCGTTTATGAATTTAAATGTAACCTGTGTGATGCAGGGTATGTGGGCTATACTCGTGGTCACTTACACGAGCGCGTAGAAGGGCACACAAGGAAATCATCTTCTATCTACAAACACTACCACCTCCAGCACAATAGTGAAATGCCTGAACGCTTGATCGAGCAATTCAACGTCATCACGAAATGTAACGGCAAATTTGATTGCCTTGTTAATGAAATGTTGTATATTCGCATGCGTAAGCCAACACTGAACGTGCAAACGGATTCCATCCGCGCCAAGGTGTTTGTTTAAGCCGTTCAGTCTAATTTATGCTATTCTTGTACCTTTCCTTATTTGCATGTTTTTAAACTAGTCTCTTGATAATGGAGTCACGATGACCCCGAAAAGTTAGTTTTCTGTCGACTAAATCAACAGATACAGGTAAGAGAGAAAATAAAGGAATGAACATTCTGCCAAACAAGAATGAAACTTCAATTTTGCGGAAGTGATAACCTGGATATTTAACTTCTAGAAGGGTAAAGCTGAGTCTGAACTTAGTGACCATGTACCTGTTATTGGAAATAATCCTTTATATCTTATCTTGTAGCGCTCCGTTACTTTAGGGAAAAAAAAAACTTGGAAGAACTCCTTGTACTTCTTCTTCCGTTCCTCCTTTACCTAAGTGCACAGAAATAAAAACAAGAACTTTCAAGCAAGTTTGAATATTTCTTAAATATTCTTATGTAGATTAGCACTAACTTATTGCTCGTATATGTGCAACCACTCATCGAGCGTCGACGAGATATTTGATAAATCTGGATAGCATCAGCTTTTCGCTGTCTGATTTCTGGAAAACTTTCGTAGCCCTCTCAACCAATAACAAACGTAACTTTTAAAACTAAAATTAGTCCCAACTAAGTAATTCAGGAATTTCTAACCGTCAGGTAATTTCCACTTTTTGTCTGAGAAGCTAAATTTATGCAAGGCGACGTTTCAGAGGTTATTCCTGTCGTAGCATAGCCAAGTTCTTTCGCTAACTGTGACTATAACTCCGGGAGAAAATGCATGGAGGCTAATCTCGTTTACTTGATAGACATGGAAAGTTAAGACGCTAATTCTTATAGCTGAGACTCGCCACTTTTAAACGACCAGTGTATTGTTAAAAACAGCAACTAAATTCTCCACAGGGATCGGTGAAAAGCTCACCTATTTCCAAAGACAAAACTGATGTGGAATACATAATTGTAATGCTTCTTATTAAATACAACAACTTCTTTCGGACATTAACTCCACTACCTTGTCTCGACGATCCGAATATTTTGCCAAATATAAGGCCTTCAACGGCTCAGAAAATATGTTGAACGGGACTACAACTACGTGCATGCGTCTGTACTGTTCCTCAATATCTGCGCGGGAGAATTTCCACTCAATTTCTGAGTTAGTCTATTAGAAAAATAAAGAAATAATAAAAAAATCAAAAGTTTAACGTATAAATGAATGACTTGTAACGGCAAGCAATCAAGATATTCTCTGAACACAGTATTAAAAAAAGGCAAGCGATTTGGAAAGGATGTTTACTATTATTTTATGTAAGTAATTAACAAATGATAAACACCACAGCATACACTATTGAGTTATGGATGCACGAGGGAGGTTGCTAAGCACGAAAGAAGCGTAAGAGACGCGGAGGGCGTGGATCCAGGCGTAACATTTGATCGAGCAGTCTTACCGTCCAGCTGAGGGTAGTCCTGAGAGGGACTGATGTTGGTAATGGTGACAGATATTTTGACAACCTGAACCGAAGTCATTCTCAGAGTACATTGGTGAGTTTTTGTCTGTTGAGTGCTCCACGCCCGGTTCGCGTAAGCTGATTAGTCATTTTAACAGTTATTTTGCCCACGATTGATGAAATAGAGTAAATTCAAAATTTACCTAGGAAATCGGCGAATCTCCGTCTTTTTTTCCTTTTGTTTCCGGGTGAGCTTACATTACTTTCACTCTTTTTACCGAAGTGCCTCTGCTGGTCTTTGTATGCAACGTATGCATTGACAAGGAGCATTAATGGAGTTAGTATTGCGTCAAGCATCATGATCAGCAAGAGAAGAAGGCGATGAGGTAGTCGAGACTGAAAGTCCTTCGATAAGCCAAGCTTCCATCGTTTTTCTACTCTTTTAAATATGAATGGATGGGATACAAACTGCAAATAAATGAAATCAGTCTATAAACAAACTTTATGAATTCGAAGTTGAGATCCCTCAAGGAATCGAGGAAAATAGATAACGGGTATTAGTATATACTAAAACAGTGGATAGCGTTGAAGGCGCGCTCTGATTGGCTAGTCAAACTCCAAATATCCTTTGCTATTTACCTCCGAGCAACTCGGGAAAAAATGGCGTCCCGGTTTGTATTCATGACAAGCGAAGAAATCACTCAAATCAATTTTTGGTGGTGTATATTATCTCACTGTTTTAGTATATACTAAAACAACTATTCACCTCAGTGTCGGTGGTTAGCAGTGGATATTTACCTCGCCGCTTCGCGGCTCGGTAAATATCCACCACTAACCACCTCCACTTCGGTGAATAGTTGTTAA